GCTCTCTCTGTGAGTCCCTGATTCAATCATCAATTATCACAGATTGAGCCAGCTTTGTTCCAGGACTCAGTCTGCAAACTCAAGAGCCAGAGAGGCAACACAGTATGCCAATCCAATTTCTTCAAAGGAACAGACATGTCACAAGACTGAAGAAGTCCTGGCAGTTACAAGGATAAATTGACTGAAATGTCACGTGCATTGAATTCAATTGAGCTCAGTAGATTTTTGTGTTTGCCTTATTATCATTAATGGAGTGCTGTTTGCTCACCGCACAGTTGAGCTGCAGTGGAGCCTTTATGAAACACATAGAGCAACCAAACCAGAACTCCTGAAAGGGTAAATGCTGTTGTATTAACCAGGCACCTATAGATATCAGTGAGTAATCACAATAACTTTTGGAATAACTACAGACCAAATTGACATGACTAAACATTCTGTACATGAACACCTCCACGTTCCATGATGTACAAGTGTTTTCCTTCAAGCTCCTGTTAGGGACTTTGGGCTTGTGTCAACTTTGGCGCCCCCTCTGGTCAAAGTAGTATTTGATGATCTTTTCCTTTACATTCTTTTACATGATAGTTTCTGACCACACTGCAGGTGCAGCCTTTATTGAAAGGATTAAGTCAAGATTATAAGGAACATTTCATTGCATTAATTTGATCCACAAATCAAGACACTCTAAAGAATTGTACAATTATATGGACTTCAAGTGTCACAAAATGTATAATAATGTAATATTCAACGAGTAATCTGAAATGCAATACATCACGACTAACAACAGAAACAGAATGATCAATCTTGATTTCAATACTGTTCAATATTTTCTTCAACTAAACAACCTTTTTTCTTCTGGTTCTGACACAAAGGATGTGTTTTTTTGCAGGTTGACTGTTTACTTTTGGTCATTTTGCACTTTAAACCCACTGACCCTGAATAGTCTCTCACTTCAAATAAGCTGCTTCAGGGTTTGATTGGAAGAAAGCTGAGACCACTATTTTTAGACCACCTTAGCTTTTATATTTTGTTCTACATTAAAGTGTGATTGCTGTGTTTATCTTAATCCAAACAGTCTATGTCAGGGAAAGAAACCACCATGTTTTCGGGACAACTTAACTAAAGTATCCAGCAGTGAAAGCGCTCAGTCAGGATGAACAGATTCCCTTCTTTTCTAATCACACATGTAGGCTTCATGGCAAGTTTTAAGAGTTTTCAGGGGCCTAGTATGTGTGTGAAGGAGCTTGTCTTACATTGATATCAAACATAAGATTGGATGACTTAATTAGGATTAAGTTTCTGCTCAATGTAGCAATCATGCAGTTCTTGGACTTGCAAACATGCTGCTTTAAAAGTAATGATTTTTAAGATAAGATGAAGTAAACCCTCCTGCTCCTCTCCAGACTCAAGCTGTCATTCCCGTTGTGCTGCCGTCAGGTTGTCACTAATCAGTGTCATCCTGCCTGCAGGCTGCACGCCACTATCTGCTCATGTGGTTAACATAGAGATTACTCACATTCAGCCTCAGTCAGAGTGAGACGAGCGCCGAGACATGACTCAGAGACTGGAACCAGCTAATAGTGGTCTTCAGGAACCAGCAGATAACACCGTCTTCAGTTTACTACAATTTAGTAATTTTTAAGATTAATTCTGAAAATCATCAGCAGGTTAAGGTAGATCTGTGCAGTGTAACAGTTTAAGTTAAAAAGGTTCATGAACCAAACTTAAGTGTATAGTATTCTGACATTATTTAATCAGTCATAACCTTCTATTGAGGTCAAAGCTATTCTCACAAAAGTAACTTACTCCAGCACTTATGGAGTTATGCTCATTTACTGAATCAGCCCTGAAAAGCTTCTCACAGACATATTTTATTGGTGTGTAAGTATTGATGCAGAGCAGCAGGCAGCATGTCAGGCTGCAGGCCCAGATACTGGCAGATAGATCTTAAAAGAAAAGTTTAATTTGTCTGATTAGATTCTGTATTTTGGATTCTGTCACCGGGTAGCCCCATAACACAAAGATGAAAGACATCTGAACAAACTGGTGAAAAAGGCTGGCTCTGTGGTAGGACTCAAGCTGGATTCAGTGGAGGATGTGGTGGAGAGATCTACACTGAGGAAGGTGGAGATTATTCTAAAGAACATTGATCACCCACTTCACAACATCTTAATGGACCAAAGGGCCAATGGTGGTGGACGGCTCCTCTCTCTTCGCTACAGGGCACAAAGATTCAGAGGATCTTTTGTATCCACAGCTGTCAGACTTTACAACTCTTCTATAAATAGTAGATGACTTTTTGAGACATGACAAATGAGACTACAGATAATTGAATTTCCTCTCGGTGATCAATAAAGTTCTTCTTATTCTTGTACTTCTTACTTTTATCAAACCAACTAAAACTGATTTTTTTAAAGAACATGGGGGTATCAGCAAAACAGATATAAACACAGGAGATCCTTGGACACTTGAGGTACCAGCATAGGATGCTGCTGAACTTAACAAAGATTAGGGGCTCTATTTTCGTTCGCGCCGGTGAGGCGGCGGAGGGCGGCGAGCCCCGCGCAGTTGTATTTTCGTCTGGCGGAGCCCAGCGTAAGGCCAATTTGGTATTTTCGTGGCATGAGCCGCACGGAGGCGAGCCGAGATCCGCCAAGCTGGGCGTGGTGGTGTGGCAGGGGGAGGTGTTGACAGAATCAGCTGGCGCAGTGACATTTTCGTGCTCGCCAACGGCGTGTAAAGTGCGCTGAAAGCTCGCCGATTCAAACCTGGTCAGCTTTCAGCGCAAGGCGGAACGCAGCTGGTCTTGTAGTATTTTGGTAGACCGGCGGCGTATCGACATACGTCACTGATGCCTCACCGGCAGGTTTCCACAGTGTCAGGCACATTTCAGTGCAATAAGTAATCATCATCAACTATTAATCTGAGTCAGCACATATATTTAGATCTATATAGATATATTCTGATCTATATCTGATCTGATGAGCGCGTTTGGCACGCGTTTGGACACACAACCTGACCGAATCAACACAGCTGAAACCGCATCAAATTAAATTAAATATCTAGTAAATAAACACACATGATGAAGTTAACAAGATACGTAATTCGTCTCCCTCCTTTTCTTTCTTCCTCTTCCTCTTATTTCTCGCGCAGCTCGACCTGGACACGTCTCCGTGTCCTCTGTCCGTCTTGCTGCTGCTGCGACTGAACAGATGATTTGTTTCAGTGCTCAGATGCGTGATCTACTTTAAGCCGACATACGGATATTATAATATTCAGTTTTGTGAGCCAAATTTATTTTATATGCCAACATCTATGAAAGAAAGAGCCAGGCCACGGAGCGCGATGCGTCATTTACGCACAGATGGTTCCAATTTTAATGCCATTTTTGGAATTTATGGTGTGATCTGTGCGCACAACTCATCTTTGTCATATGGGATTTAAATATATGCAGCACATACATTTAGATCTACAGTACATTTTGATGTATATCTATAGGAGCGCGTTTGGCACGCCTAATTGCCACTCCACCTGACCGACTAACACAGCTGAAACTCTGATGCAAACTAACTACTTCACGTCTCTCTACCAACCACAAACAGCTTCGTCATCACAGAGAGAGTATATATTTGGCATGTCATCTCAGAACACTGAGAAAAGAATCAACGCACACTGAAGCAAAGTAAGTTATGACCGTTGTTCTCAAGATTTACATGCAGCATGTGATCTCACAGCTACAAATTTAATAATTTCCATGCTTAACATTATCTACAAAGATGGAGTACATAATTGCAAGGAGGTGGAGGAGGAGGAGGAGAAATTACAGAGAGAGGGTGATTCATCACAGGGCATCATATTTAACCTTAACAGAGCAGGAATGCAGGTGGGCCACATGGATAACGCCTCCAACACCGTGTTCAATACAACTGCCTTTTAACAATCTACTATTTTCCTTGACACAGGACCAAATTACACCTGCCTCGTGAGGTGGTCCACGCGATCACACGGATTGTGGCCTCAGATGCGGACCCCGGTGGCCCATGCGCTCTCCCAGTTGCTGTGAGGGTGACAGCGGCTCTGACTTTCTTCGCCACCGGGTCTTTCCAGCATACCGTGGCTTCGGTGGTAGGGATAAGTCAGGCCGCTGTCAGTTTGGCCATACATGCAGTGTCCACCAGTCTAGTCCGACACGCAAATGAGCACATCATTTTCCCATCATCACCTGCAAGCCAGCTGGAAACGAAGCGAGGGTTCTTGTTGAAATATGGATTCCCTGGGGTCCTTGGAGCAATTGACTGCACACATGTGCAGTTGCGCGCACCAGAGACCCAAGCCCTCATTTATGTGAATCGTAAGGGAGTCCACTCCATTAATATCCAGGTGATTTGTGACTCAAATTGCCTGGTGACAAACGTGTACGCTAATTACCCCGGGTCTGCACATGATTCATTCATCCTGGCGAATTCTATCATCCCTACAGTCTTTCAGGGGGACACCCCTCTGGATGGGTGGCTGCTAGGTGATAACGGCTATCCACTGAAAACGTGGTTGATGACGCCATACATTACACCTTCAACAAGACAGCAACGTGTTTTTAACAGTGTCTTCAGCAGTGCTAGGTCAGTCATTGAACGTACTTTTGGAATCCTCAAAATGCGTTTCAGATGTCTGGACCGGTCAGGTGGTTCATTAACATACAGCCCGCAGAGTGTCGGTGCATTCTTTGTGGCATGTTGTGTTTTACACAACATAGCTATACGCCATGAATGCCACTACGACCTCGCCGAGGACACATTACTGGACTTTAGACAGAGAGAGGCCGAATTGCATGTGCCATGTCAGCAGGGAGAGCAGCAGAGCGCGCAGGTGAGGAGGGACCGCCTCGCAGCACAGCTCTGCCCTTAAGTGTGAGTATTTGCTTTCATTCATTTATACACTTTTTGTAATTATCCACATTAAAACATCCAATAAATAGTCAAACATGATTGCATTAACAAGTGTTTTTATTGTGTTTCTCCCCTCCCAACCCCCCTTCTTCTTCTTCTTCCTCCTCCTCCTCCTCCTCCTCTTGGGTCTGGACGCTGCAGTCGGTCAGTCAACCCAGGGGGCCGCCCCCCTCTTGTGCGCGGCCTCAGCGGCCACCTGGGACAGGCGGGGGCGGATGATTCTGCTGGTGGCAGCAGCCTTTCGGCTACCTGGACCAGCCGCTGCAGTGTCGCAACGCCAGCTGCTAAGGGGAGCAGGCTGGCCTGGAGGACCTCCTGGAGAGCCTTTACCTGGGCCTCCAGCGACCCAAGCCGCGTCCCCATCGACCCCAGCTCCCTCTCCAACATCAGAAAACCAGCCCGCTGGGTGTCCAGGAAGGGCTGGTCCTCCCGCTGAACGCGGTTTCGTCTCCGACCCCGTGTTGCCGGCTCGTCTCCACGTCCTGTCCCCTCCCGCGTCTCCGGCACCGGCTCCGGCTCCCCCTGGTCCTCCTCCTCGCGGTCGTCTTCGTCCTCTCCCTCCTTCTCCTCCCCCCGACCACCTGCTGCTGCTGTTCTTTCCTCCTCCTCCTCCTCCTCCTCCTCCCTTGTGGTGTGCTGCTGCCGCGACGGCGGCAATTCTGCCGAGGCTGACCAGAAATTTTATTTTAGTAAATCACAGAAATTCTTTTTTTAAAAATGTTAATACTTTCATTTAGAATAAAGAAGTTAGAAATTGTGTGAGCAAAGTTCATTTCAGATGCAAACATTAGCGGAAAGGGGGAGAAAATACAATCAGGCTTTGTTTGATCCGTCTTTACGCACAGGTGGTTCCGATTTCAATCCCATTACGCATGGCATTTTTTCAGATCACCTGTGCACACAACACACCTTAGTAACACGTGGTTAAATATACATGTTAGTGTCTTTATTTGTGGAAAAGAATGTTTGTCTTACCCGTGAGTCCAACCTCAGAGACACCAAACCCCTCGATACTAATTTTGGGGAGTGTGGAGGACGCCACGTCCTCCGCAGGGCTCAGCACCACACTCGTTGAGGGGCCGCCTCCGGTCGTTGCAGTCTGGCGACGGTGTTGGGATAATTTAAGTTTAGCCCGTCGTCTAACATCATTGAACCGCTTTTTGCATTGCGCAGCGGTTCTCAGCACGTCCGGGCAAACTTGATTGACAGCAGCACTTACCTCTTCCCAGGCTGCTTTTGCATCATCGACCCGTGGAGGTCTGTTCGCGTGACCGTATATCCGGCCACTGCGAGACTGGACCTCCCGGACCAGAGCATCAGTTTCCTCCTGAGAGAAGTTCGGCTGTCTCGCACTCGTTTCCATCTCGGCCATCTGTGAGTCTGCTGCACGAAAATGCCAATGCGCCTCGCCGACGGCGGATTTAAAGGTGAGGAGAGGCGGTTATTTGATTGGCGCAAATTGGACTCGGCTGTGTTAAACCCACTTCACACCCACTCTCCTTCCCCCCACGACGTATGCTGCTGGGAGGAGCTGAGTTAGGGAGGGGGGATACTTACGCCGGGCTGCGCGGCCCACCAAAATACCAAAATGTGCTTGGGAACGCCTTGTCAGCGCGGCGGATCTGATTGACGCTGCGCTTGCGGCAGATCTCCGGCGAAGCACCAAAATAGAGCCCAAGAAGGTGTGCTGGACAGCAACTTTAAACACTTAGAATTGCACATTTCATGACACTGCATCTTCCATTTGCATGACAATAACTTTGTAGACACAGGAAAACAGTCATAAAAACTTAACTGGACTTTAGAGAGAGTTACAGTTTTGGATAAGAAATCAGGAGCAGGCATAGTTGGAAAAAACATATGGTCTACGAATAGGGGGTACAGTCAGGGACAGTTGGGACAACTGGAGCAAAGAGATATCCCATTGGCATGGAGGTGCACTTGGCCTGCTGTGATTGATTGGTGTGAACAGCAAGAAATAGTAAATGGGCCTCTCTGAATGCATGCATTATTATACTGTAAGGTGTGAGTCTGGCATTTGGTGAATTGTGCTCTGTCAGTCACTGTAGTGTCCTAGCTGCTGTCTGCAACATGGCATCCCTCATGGTGTACACTGTAACAACAAGCCATTGCTTCTTAATGGGCATAAGTCTGCACCAGGAAGGCAAGGAGAGGTGAAGCAGATGAATAACTCTCTTCCTGCAAGTGCAAAGAAATGCAACATATTAAGAGAAATGTTTGCCAGTATAGGGGGAGGTTGGTTTTCACACACTTAGGAAGAGTTAGACAGTTGTGCCAGTAACTCAGTGACAGTGTGGCAATAGCTTTTGTTTATGTCTAACAGTTTCAGTGAAGCTTCCAGGGAAACATCTGCACTGCTGTCCTTTTTCCAGCAGATGGGGCAGCGAGTTCAGGTTTATGGCTGCTTGTCCGCTAGCCAGCCTCATAGACACACTTTTTCCAACAGCATTAAGTTAGAAAGAAAAAGATACAGCGGAAAGAGGAAATAGTATAACCGACTTTCAAAATAAAAGCACACAGTTGGACAAACTGTTCTTTTCTGACCAATAGAACAATCAGGACTACTACTGTCATTGTGCTCTGTTGAGTACATAGACTGTATATACTACCGTCTATGGTTGAACAATTTTATGATGATTCAACTGAATCGATTTAAATTTTTTTAAACGCTTTTATATAATTTCTTGACTCTGATTCAGTTATAATACACCGTTATTTATTCGTTTTTTCACGGTATTTTGAGATAACGAAACATCAGTAAACAGTTACTAAGAGGGTGTGTAAAGATTTTAGGGAAAGGTTTTCTTCACAGTGGCAAAATGGGGGATATCACATTATTCTTATTTCCTATCCAAGAGATCCTTTTAATAAAGCAATAAAAAAAAATTTAGGATTAATCCAACGTTAAAAATAATTGAGAAAATGCACTCTTACTTGAGTAGATTATTTTAGAGCATCAACCAACCTTGTTGAAAACACTGCACTCAGTTCTTTTCGTGTCAAACGAAAAACCCTCTGCACGCAGATTTATTTTGAAAGGCAACACCGGATAAAGATCTTTGTATGACGGACGCTTAATGCTTGTCTGCGTTGCTCTGTTGGCAGTCGTTGATACTGAAGAGAGCGAAGCGCTGGATTCAAGTGTTAAATCAGGTTCCCCGTGGCTCTGAGACCCTTGGTCCTTGCAGGTGAGAAAAACATCATGAGCATTGTTTCTGGAGAATTCAGAAGCGGTCGGAAATATGCATTCACTTGTCTGTTTTCTTCTTTGGTCGTCTTCTACCGTGGGGAACGAGTGTTGAGAGGCATTTTAATTCTATGATTCCTCTGCTCTTTTGTTGAATAGCAACACAAAAGCTACACCAGCACCGTGGCATGTTTCGAGTCCCGTGGACTGGAGCAACAAGTGGTGAGGAATAAAGTTTGTAGGAGTCCACGGTGTATTACAGGACTGCTCTGGGTTCTGGCGGCTCTGAGTAGCTCTCCCCCGGGATCGCGTCAGTTAGCTCGGGGTGATTAATGAACCTAAGTAGCTAGCTAACTGTTAGCTGACTAGTTAACAACCAGCACGTTAACCAGATGCTCTTTTTCTCAACGGCGGCTTTCCCATCAAATACGGACGTTTTTTTATAATTTTTGTCGTATTATCATCGTAGAAGAGAGTTATAACGTTGTCAGTAACAGGTACTGAGTTTAACAAGGAAGCATCGCTATTGTCTGTTATTTTACACTGCTATCACATAATTGTAAGAGATTGAAGCAGATGGAAATTAACGTTGAAGTTGAGCATGTACAATAAATTAGTATTTATCTCAAAAAGCACCTTTTTAAGGAGTAGGAGGGGATGCACCGTTGTATTGGCTAGTAAAGTAAGGACAGGGTATTTTGCTATTTTAAACAGAAAAATATATATATGTAACTGAGAAAAAATTTAAGTACATATTTGTGTATATAAAGCCAAGGCTCTCTGAGATTTAATTGTTTATATCAACTTGGTCGTTGAAATTATACAGATTATAATATGATTTATATTTTTTGTGCAAATGTATTTTGGGCTGTATCATTACTGAGAACTGCTTCTTAATCTGTGTTAATGGTTGAACAGCAGCTAAAGAGGCTTTGGCAGGAGTTTTTTTTTTTTTTTTTCAAAGGAGAATTTTTTTTTTAATTTAACCAAGTCCAGTGCAAGGTTTTCATTGTACATTTGTTGCATTGAATTTGTGCTCACTCAAAGATAGATCCAAGATGTCCATATCTCAAACCCACTTTGGCTGATGTCCCCTTTTAATTCAGTTGAGAAGAACAATCTATCCCATATGATCATGATGATCTATTTGTTTTAGAGACAGACATAGAAAACTGATGGGAACAAAAATATAAATTACAATAACTTCTGTTGATCAATATTATGACCCCACTGGGCAGTGAGGCTGACAGAAATTTACACTTGTTGTTCAGCAGTTTTGAAGTAGCCGACATGAGTAGCATTAGCCAGGAGCTTCTCTGCGTGACTGGAGATAAAGCTTTGTAGTTCAGGTAAGGCTAAATGGCAGAAGTAACAAAGTAGCAAAACTCTAAGTGCTTCATTAGCCGATGGAAACCCTCTCTTTTGCTCTTACTTTTCAGACCCTTGGTGCTGTTCAGGATGACAGTTCTTAAGATACAGAAGTAAATTGGGAGTGTTATAGGAGTTGGGTGTGTTTCATAACCACTGCAAATTGCTCTTTTGCAACACCTCAGAATGCAGTCATACAGCTGCAGTTGGTACGAATAGTTTGTCAGTGTGTGTGCATAGTAATTCTATCTCTTAAAGGGGACCTGCCATAAAAATGTAATTTTTGGGTTTTTTGTGTCAGATAAGGTCCATATTATGTTCGTCTTATGTTGTAAATGTGAAAACAAACCGTTACGTCGTTTGCATTCTGTAAAGGTTTAAAATAAAGGAACGAGTAAACCAGGCCAATTGAAAAAGCAGGTCAATCTGACGTTGCGTTGACCTTGCTCATTATTATTCACGAGCGCATCCTCGGTGAGCCGCGCCCACTCTCTCGTTCTCGTACCCAATCACAGTGAACGTCACTCTCCAGAGCGAGACCCAGCTACCACTGTATCCGCTATGGGTCTCTTCCAAACGACCGGTGTTTCCTTCGGTTCACTGCTGGGAAAATGAACTTAAAGCCGGGCAGAATGAATGAGAAAACACCGCTGGAGATCTCCGGCTTCTTCCTCAACTTCCACCTCCTCTTCGGACTCGGGGTCTAAAATATATGGTTTAATACCTGCCGTTTTTAGCCTTTAGCATAAGGTGACCAGACGTCCCCGATTTCTGGGGACAGTTCCCGTATTGGATGACCTGTCCCCGGCAAAAGCTGTCCCCGAAAATGTCCCCGATTTAAGCGTTTCATGAATGAGAGCAAAAATGTTGCCTGTGGCTCGAACAACGGTTATTACAGTAGCCGAATAGATAGGAAGCACAAGTTATCAGTTCTGAACAACGGTTCTTACGGGGCTATTACAAGGGGCATGCGCTGCTACTAAATAGTACCGAGATTTTGTCTGTGATCACACAGCCCCTGCAGCCCCTGCAGCCCCTGCACCGCCGCCGCCGCCGCACCGAATATCCCTGGATATCATTACAGACATCTGGGCACCTTACTTTAGCACACATTAGCATATGCTATTAGCATTAGCATAATAACGATGGATAAACCCAAATCCGAACCTGCACTGCTGAACCAATCAGAGCACAGCAGGCTTCACAGCAGCGATCCAATCAGAGCAAAGCTCATTACCATAAATGTAAATGAGCCAAAACCAGTTGGTTTTCCTGTAAGGTTTTTTAGGCATACTAAAACAAATCATCAAATAACTTTTCAGCTAAAATTATGTTGCAAACATGATCAAAGGACATCAAGGATTATGAAAAAATGATAAAAATGGGTATGAAATTTTGATGGCAGGTCCCCTTTAACAAAGCAAAAGAATACTGACACTGTGAGAATCAAGAGTTTCATTTTTCTCCTCATTGCATCACTTTTGTTTCACAGCCACTGCAAATCGCTATTTTCATATTTAGCTACACTTCAACATACTACCAATTAATACCTGCTGATAATGGTTGATTTCTTTAAGCTTTTACTTGCCTATAATGGTGTTGTAGGCTCATAGTTTCTAATCTGGTGCATCCCCCAGTGTCATGTATGTACAACAAACTGGCTGCGTAATTGAATGACTTGATGTTGTATGTGATTTGACTTTCGTCTTACATCTAAACATGTCAACATGTTAAACAAAGCTGATTTATTCCCTCAGTCAGACTGAAACTGGACGTTGGAGAAACGTGTAAAAACATACTGTATGTCTGATCGCACTAATTTGAACTTCTCATAGTTGGACAAACATACCTACAAAATGGGAAGTGATTTTCTGAAACTGGCCTAAGCCTTCTTTGCATGCTTCAGTGTTTGCATACCAGGCTTTGAGCTGGAAGTTGAAAATCAGGAACCCAGTGTTTATAAACCAGACCAGCAGTCTAGGTAAACCATCCCATCAAGCTATTAACGCAGCTCAACTGAACTGTGCATGTTAATGATTTGTAACACTGGGTTAAACTGCTGGCATTTTGGCTGGGCTGTGGTTTGACACATACCAAAGAAACAAGGTCAGTGGGTACAGGCAGTGAAAGAGTTCAGCAAAAGCCATATTTGCAACATCATTTTACAGCATCTAGATCAGAAGTAGGCCTAAGCACTCTAGACCGGAGTATTTTTAGACAGCCTAATGGTAGGTTTTATTGGGTAGGGCTACATTTACTGCCTTACTGTGTGTTTGCTCCTCCTTTGTATCGCTGCTTGGTTTCCAACCCTCTGCCCTTGAGCAGACTTTTCATGGAATTACATAATTACTGGTTTTATAGTGGAAACTGGTACAGACATTCACAGGGCTGTGCTCTTAGGAGAGGAAACAGCACAGGGATCACTGTTGAAATGATGGGCACATTTTCAGTTTGGTCCATCTAAAGCAGGGGCTTGGTCACTGGCATAGAAATACCACTTTATAGTTGCCGAGACACAGACATAGTCATTGATGCAGTGAATGTCTGTTTATAGATGGAAGTGTCTGAGGAGGATTTTGCATAGTTAAAGGCATGTTTGTTGCATGTATGTAAGGAATGTTTTTATCACCACAGATGTTTACAGTCTAAAATATGGAGAAGAACTCTACAGAACCACTCTATATTTTACTGTTTAGCTAAGATATCTCTATGCTGATAAAATTATATTACAAAGACAAAATTTAAATGTTGACACTGAAAAATTTCTTGGTTTATGAAAGATATAAGCTTGTAAAAATTCAATACAGCAAAAGTTGGGATAGGCCGATCATGTTGTGTATATCGTCCTGTTTTTTCCTGACATAGGATTCCAGCTGTTTAATATTTTAGGATCTCCTTTGTCTAGTTTTTCCATCTTGAACAGGCTCAAAGAAGTCGAACAGTGTTTCTAAATCATGTTTAAACGTGGTTTCCTCTTTGCACTATGCTGTTTTAACCTGTATTTGTGTACACAGCACCAAACTGTGTCCACAGAAATTGCCTTTTTGAAGTGATTCTTAATTTATGCAGTGGTTTCCACTCCAGAGTCAAGTCTGTTGTAAGTGCAATGTTGTCTGGGGACTTGAGGATCGGGGCCACCCAGTCTTGCTTTTGGTCTTTATCCCTTTTGTACAGAGATGTCTCCAGATTCCCTAAATCTCTCTGAAATTTGACGCTTCTTATGTTTTATTTTTTCAGGTAGTCTTTTACACTCGGCTTATGTGTTCAAATGGAAATAATGGCGGACGTGTGATTTTTAAAGAACAGAAAATAGTACTGTGAGCCATTAAGGTTAACCGGCTGAGCAGGATCAGACTTTAGAGTCTCTCAGCACTGTCACTATCACATGTATCATCAAAGATAAGCAGATTCTTTTCTGCTGATTGATTATGTGTAATTTCATTTATGAAAGTCATCTGTGAAAGGAAACAGCTCTGGCATAATCACATTTAAAACATTGAAAAGATTAGTTTTCAATTCAGTGAAAAATTCAGCGTGTTCATCATGAAAATTGTGACATTTTCCTCATTTCAAATTGGTAATAATATAGTAATCTTCCTTTGTTTTCCAGGCTGCAGGGAGAGGATGTGATCTGGATGGCTGACGGAAAGGGACGCGGACCAATCACGTGAAAAGATGCTGGCTCGTAACCGCTTCCTACTCCTGGTGGTGGTGGGTGGGGCGGCGCTAGCCATCCTCAGCCTGAGCCTCCAGTTCTGTAAGTGATTGTGTTTGTATACCTGTCCTCTCTCTTGAGATCTGTCCCAGTATTCAGATGTGAAAATATGCATATCCTCTTGTTGCTTCCCCATGTGAGCATGGCCATTCATCCAGAAAACAAAGCAGAATCCTCTATAGACTTCCTATAAATATCCAGCACCAACAGAGGGGCCCCTGGATGCTCTGGAGCAGTGTGGCTGCACACTCACATCTGCTGTGGAATGCATAGGTGCACACATTATTGTGTCTTTTCTCAATCAGGTCATTGTTTAGCATCTCCTGGAAGTATTGTCTGGACAGTTTATCCTTGCCGGCGGCAGTGAATGCAAGGAAACTAAAGCTCAGTGAATGGAGATGGTCTACCAAGTACTGCTAACCTCGCAGCAGAGGTTGTAAAAAAATAGGCAGTGATGCAAGAAATCGTTATTTTTATGTGAAACGTGTGAGATAAAGCGACTTTCTGTTGTATTCCTGGAAACCAAAATGCAGAGGAAGCGTCGGTGGTGATGTTAAGCCTGTGTCTGGACAAGCATAGGATTAAACTGGCATAAATCATGCTCCAGCACACGCAGGATTACAGCCGCATGCAATTTGCAGTGTATGTTTGTCAAGATTTGTGTGCTGCCTTTCATCAGTCTGAAGATACAGTCCCCATATGTAATTAAAATGTGTTAGCTTAATTTTTTTCCCCTCTTAATCTCTGTCCTTGTTTATTTTCAAATGCCACACAAGATGAGAAATGTGCTGTGCTCTCTTCCAAGCAATCACTCCCTCCCTTATCCCCTCCTCTTCCTCACTAGATAAAAAAGCTTGACCACGTGAGGAGAGGTCACCGTGTGCTGTGTGTTATAATTACCTCCTTATCAAACCAGCACTCACCTCCTGCTCTGTTATCCTGTCCTTTTTGAAACACCCAGAGGAGGAAAAAGCGAAACCAAAAGAAGCAATCTCTTGTCATCACGGTTTAAGTGTTTGCATACCTGTCTATTAAAGGTAGTTCCATTGACTTGGATGTTTAGTTACTGAGGGGCCACAGCTGTACCCAGTAAAGATTATGTTTGCTGCACCTCTGAAGGCTTAAAGGGATATTTCGGCATATATTAACGTTACGGTCAAACACACCATAACACTGAGTTAGACACCCCCTCGAGAGATGAATGTTGCCGACTGCTTACTTCTCTAGTTATACCAACTTTAGTAACAACCGCAAGATTGCAATACACAGTGGTCTACGTCTCCATGCGCAAACCTCAACCAAAACACCACTCTGTAGCCACAAATAATGCTCAGAACAGCACCTAACTTCATCAACAGTACATATAGAGTCCCAGCCATAGTGCTAGCCACCAAACATCTTTTTAACTTTGCCTGGTTTCTTTAGCAAAGAGACTAAACACAACTCTCCTTCAGCAGCCGTTTGATTGTGACGAGTCGATCACCAAGTGCAGCAGAGTTTCGCAGCTCAAGGAAGAACCGTTATGATCATTACTTCATGGAAATACAATCAGACTGAGGCACTAAGGCAGAAGAACTACCATATCTGCAGTGCAAAATGATTATTATAATGATTATTACTTCATGGAAATGATCGGCTGCACTTGGTGTTCGACTCGTCAGGGCTCTTCTACAAACAAGCGGCTGCTGGAAGAGTGGGTGAGTTGTGTTTGGGCTCTTTGCTAAAGAAATCAGGCTAAGCTAAAAAGATGTTTGAGTGCAGCAACCATCACCCCACAGGCTTTACACTGATCACAGTGCATGGTGCTATTTCTATAGTGGGGCCATTTGAAGTCTGTTAGGCACTGTCCAAACCAGACCTCTGCAGGAGACCCAGATCCGTATGAAACCTCATTAAATTTTAACAGTGAAAAAAATCAAAACCTTAAACTAATTAAACCCTTGCATGGCTTGCATCACCTCCTGTTGTCACAGGCTTGTTGATGAGCATCACAGGAAGACCTTTTTGATTTAGGGGCATCAATAAAAATTTAGGAGAAGCCGCAGTTTATTTTTTTTTTCTCCCTCCTCTGCGCCCAAAATGCACCAAGTCTGGTGTGAGTGCAGTATTCTCAGCAACCATCACCCCACAGGCTTTACACTGATTACAGTGCATGGTGCTGTTTCCATAGTTGGGCCATTTGAAGTCTGTTAGGCACTCTCCAAAACGGTGAGCCATCTTTGCTGGTGCATCCACATTTGCCACATCAACACACCTTTCAGGAGTTACATTAAACACCAGCCTCTCTTCATTTTCTCTCTGGGCTCTATTTTCGTGCCTTCCAAGCACAATTTGGTATTTTGGTGAGCCCGGCGTAAGTTTCCCCCCTCCCTAACTCAGCTCCTTCCAGCGGCGTAAGTCGTAGAGAGGGAGGAGAGAAGGCGTGGAATGGATTTAACACAGCCGAGACCTGTATTGACCAATAACATCAGCTCCTCTCCTCGCCTTTAAATCCGCTACCGGCGAGGCGTATTACAATTTTCGTGAGGTAGTCGAAGAGATCAAGAGATGGCTGAAGACAGCAATGCCACACGATGGTGACAGAAAGTAGCCCCTCAACAAGTGTCGCTGTAAGCGCTGCAGAGGTCGTGCTCCACACTCTCTCATATGAGCACAGATGGATTTGGTGTGTGTAATGTTGGACCCACAGGTAAGACAAACACCTTTTCCCACAAATAAACACAGTCACATAAAGTTGCATTTATTTAAACCCCACATGACAAAGGTGGGTTGTGCGCATAGATCACAACATAAATTCCAATAATGGCATTAAAATCGGAACCGCCTGTGCGTAAAGGACGCATCGCGATCTGTAGCCTGGCTCTTTCTTTCATAGATGTTGGCATATAAAATAAACTTGGCTCACAAAACGGAATATTTGTATTTGGGCCTAACTCCGGATTGAATATTTACAGAATCGTAATAATGTGAGAAAATCAGATAAACAGGTAATTTTGAGTGAAAGTATCTTTTATTTTCCTTTTTTTTTTTTGTTGTTCAAATTTTCAAAGTAGAGAGGACACAGAGACATGTCAGGTGTTGTGCCGTAGAATGCACCCCCTGACAGGAGCGCGGTTGAAAGTACACGACAAGGCAAAAACTTTTCCTACAGAAAGTTTTCCGTACCGTGGGATAGATTCATAAATTTCATTCAGGCTATTCAGATAAGCAGAAAACAAAAGCCCTCTGATTCGGAATATTTGCTGCCCCGAAAATATAATGTTCTCTACCATAATAGCTTACTGTACAGTTTACATGCCCAAGTACACCTCTGTATGTGCATTTTTTAAATGCCTAAAAACAGAACGAAAGTTTGCTGCTCCATCTGACATGTTGTCATGATCAATACTCCTGTTTTTTTTTATATATGAGATCATTTTCTTCCACTTTGAGAAGCTAATAAGTGGATGGGATGCAGAGGATGCATTCTACGGCACAACACGTATCGAGCTGCGCGAGGAAGAAGGAGGATAAGCGGGGAGACAAATTAAATATCTTGTTAACTTCATCATGCGTGACTGTTTAATGGATATTCAATTTAATGCGATTTCAGCTGTGTTAATTTGGTCAGGTGGAGTGTCCAAACATGTGCCAAATGCACTCATCAGATAAGATATAGATCAGAATATGTATGTATGTATGTATGTATGTCCTGACTCAGATTTTTAGTTGTTGTTGATTATTTATTGCACTGAAATGTGCCTGACTCTGTGGCATCGGTGACATAAGCACATTATGCCGCCGGTCTACCAAAATACTACTAGACCAGCTGCGCTCTGCCTGCGCTGAAAGCTGACCAGGTTTGAATCGGCGAGCTTCTAGCGCACTTTTCACACCACCGGCGAGCACAAAAATGTCACTGCGCCAGCTGATTCTCTTGACACCTCTCCCTACCGCGCATCCACGCCCAGCTCGGCAGACTTTGGTGCGCCTCAGTGTACAAAAATACCACTGTGCGGGGATCGCCATCGTCCGCCGCGCCGCCGGCGGGCACGGAAATAGAGCCCTCTCTCTTTAGCTGTTTTGATTTTACTTAATCAGCTCTCCATTGTGTCAACAAAGTGCAGGGAAAAAGAGATATTGAAGGCTAATAATAGCCGATCTAAAATCAGCACCAAGGGTTTTAGAAAGTGTTAAAAAAATGGGAATATTGCTCAATCTCTACCTGTCAGATTAAAACCTTTTCTGCTCACTGCCCCTGTCTGTGAAGTGATGGTCCTCAATGCACGACAAATATGACCCTCCTTAAATTTTACTTTAAAAAAAGTCTCATTTCTTTGTGCAGATGAACAACCTCCTCTTTTCTTTGTTCCTGTTACTTTAAGAGTGGAAAAAGATAAGACCTTTTTGTAATCTCTGGACTATTTAGGTTGCTTTTAAAGGTAGGAAATAAAAACATTCTGTGTTTACGCTTGAAGAGGCAGAATTATGACCCAAAAACAGCCCGCTTTAAAAAGAGCTGCTGTTTCTTTTCTTATTCCTCCTTCAAAACAGCTCGTTCTCTATTTTTAGATCAGTTGTAAGGCTGGAGAAAAGCTGTTGTCATCATTTATTCATCATACACACTGTGGAGAGAGATTTTTGCCATTATCCAAGAGGCTCATGTGAAAAAAGCGAGTGAGATTTCTCGATGCATGGTTGAGGGTCAGGGATTATTGTTTAAAAAACATATTTTTTAACTCTCTGCTTTCAGTCTGTATTCTGTCTCCAAATCCTCCTCCTGTAATCTGTCTGATTGTGTAAAAGAAAGCTGATTCATATTTATATTATAGTTTGTTGACTGAACCATAAGAGCCTGAGAGATGGATGACGATCATTGGTTTATAGTGAATGTCTCTCTCTGGCTTAGGGCTACCTGAAATTTAAACAGAGCGGCTGCAAACAGTAAGGGGGAAGATTGGCGTGTTGATTGACATTTGAGGGACTCCCAGAGGCAAGTCACGACCGAGCTCAGAGGCACTCCAAAGAGGACGAGTGTCGTAGGGAAAACTAAAGTGACTGAAACACAGAGAAAGAGAACTATTTTAGGATGCCGGCAGTGGTGAAGAGGAAGGTAAAGTTGAGCTTGGTGGGAGTTAAGTGCCCCAGGAGTGCTGCTAGATTCAGAACGGGAGAGGAATGTCACTGCAGGATATAATAGGAGACACCGAAAGGCTGGAACGTAAGAAATGGCTGTGAGTCAGTGCAAAAGCTGGAGTGAAACAAATAAGATGTGGCATTTTGAGGAAGAGAGACAGAAGCTCCTATTAAAGGACTTATAGATAGAAACTTGGTTTGATGTATTTACATGTTTCCTACAGACAGAGACATTTAAAGGAATCTGCTAAAGATATAAGCTGCTTCTTTCTTGTTGAATTGTGGAGGACTTTGTGATGGAATAAAGCTGAGTACACATCTGGTTAATTACCAGACTGTTTATACTATAGACAACTTCGCTCCGCCTTCTGTCATTATACGATTTTGAAGCTGAATTGCTCTCAGTATTTCCAGGATTTTTTCCACTTCCTGGAACCATCACTTCCGCAGTAGTATTGTACGCATGCGGCAGGAGAGTAGCAGAGAGTCACTGTGATGACGCTCGGCTCAAACAGCGTATCTCCCGGGTGAGCTATGCAATCTTCGCACGCCCATAGGCTGTATCAAGTGTCAACCATAGAAAACATGAACCGTCTAATAACTTTTAAAAACAGAGCTGTACAGAAAAAAGAGGACTTGAGCAAAAACCAGTCTGACAGTAACTACATGTCAACTTTGCAAACGGGGGGTATTTTTGTGTAATTAATTTATAAAGTTTGTCCACAGCTCCATAGGGATTGCTGGAGGAGGTGGGGTTTATGATCTATACTGCAGCCTGTCACCAGAGGGTGCTGTTCTTGTAGAGGCTTCACCCAGCGAGGAGGCAGATGGTGTCCATTCTATATACAGTCTATGTTAATTACTTTGACAAATGGCGTTAGGGGTGGGCAGTGCACTGGATTCCGAACATGGATGCTGCTCTACAGACACTGCAGGTTCAAAGATGCATTTTGACTTTTCTAAATATGGCAGAGATTTGTTTCCTTCAACACAGCTGAGCCACAATGACAGATAAAAGAGTGACTCATGACTGACAACAGCATAGATTGATCTATTTCCTTTCTCGCTCTGACACTTGAGACTCTTCAGGGCAGAGCCACATTTACAAAGCCCCTTTTTTGAGCACCAAAACAGGTGAACAGGAACAGAAAGTGATTTTGTGGCACAGTGATTGGGTTTACGGGCTTGTGCTCTTTTCTCCACAAGTTTAATGTTGGCAAGTGACCGTGGGGTGAGGATTTGTGTTCATGTTATGATGGGTTTGCTTGAAATTGTGTTATACTTGAACACACTTTCTTTCAGTCGTTTTTCCAAAGGGACCCCAGTTACCCTTCACCTCAAAGAAACAGTGTGTTGTAAGGAACAGACAAATTCAAAGCAGGCTCGTATTATTCAAATGTATAATCTGAAGGAGGTCTGTAGTTTCCAGCTCAGCTTGTGTGCACTGTTTTTAGAAACTTTTAGAGATCAAAAAGCAGGAGGGCTGGGGGTGCTCACTGACAACACTTCAAAAATGATAGTCTCAAAGTTAATGTCACACTGTCCCCGGCAACAGGAAACCCTCCACATTAAAGGATTTGAATCAGCATGGGGGTGATCAGGGCTCTTATCCCTAGCTTTGCAGTATTGCCTAACATCATGCTTAATTAAATGAGCTGAGGAGGATGTTAATCTTGGCTCTAATACTGTTTGCAGCCCAGCAGATCAGAGGGATTCTGTTTATGTGCATGAGACACAAAGAGTGTAAACCCAGGATAATGTGGTGACTGATGGACAGCTGGAGACTCATTGCCATCATCACGCACTGTAATTGTACCGTGTCAACATTTGTTTTACCTTCAAACCTGTGTTTTGGTGACTCCAGCACAAAACATTTTGGAGTCCAATATTTGTGGACACACCTCCATAATTTCAGGCCGGTTCCAGTGCAGATTCTTCCACCCCATAATCACCATGGCGTGATAACTGGCACCAGTGAGTTTGTGTGCATTTTTGTGGCAGGGCAACCATCTTGAATATGCCCTCAGATCGAGTCAAGCTGTGTTTTTGTCTGCAGAATGGAGATGGGATCAGCAGCATGTGAGGGTTGAAGATTAAACACTGTGAGGGTGCATGCAGTTCTTAACTTAGAGGATGATGTATGTGTGATCACATATGTTTGTGTACACCAGTGGAGGGTTGTAACATTTCAGTTACACACCCAAACTATCCTACATGCTTTTCCAGACGGATGCATGTTTATTTAAGCCAGATGAACTTTGGTGGAGGAACCAAAACACCAGTACTATAGCATCATACTTTGATACTTGGCGTTGAATATCTTTAAAAATGATACCAGATGAGATCTTTAACCAAACATCTGAAGTTCAGACCAGTCCTTGAGTGTGCAGTGCTTACAGAAGAGTGAAAGTGAAAAGCTGGTGTGAAACAAACTCACAGATATCTTGTCTCATGCTGTGTTTGTCTTATCTCATAAATAGGCTGTCAAAGTAAGAGTATCAATACTTTACAGGAGGAGGTTTTCACTTTTTACTGTGGAAAAGAGGGTGTTAATATTGGTATTGATTGAAAATATCAACATGTTGAATATCTGCAAAAATCCAAAAGTTTTACATTCCAAACAAGACAGAGTCACCTCGATATGTCATAATACACTGGGGAAGGGTTTACAGAGAGACAGAGTTTATTCAGGTGCAGGTCCCCCCATCATCACCTGAGGTCAGATAAGAACTCTTTGTCTTACCTTCTTAAACGCTTCCCTCCAGTGAGGCTCTTATGGACAAAGAAAGGAATAGGAAGTCCAACTTTGCTGCACAGTTTAAGAACGTGGGAACAAGCCAGCATGTGAATTGCTGAGACTGATTAAAGGACAAATGCAAATATTTGACTGATATAATGCAAGTCAAACTGGGGATGAGCTTCCAGAAGGAGAGGGGTGGGCTGAGTCAAAGCCCCTCAGACAGCCTCCTATTGTACCATCTGACTGAGCTTGATGTAAAAATGGGAACACATTTTATCTCCTAACTAATCATCCCAGCCACATCCAGTGTGTGTGTGGTTGTGGATTTGTGTGTGCTTGGGTTTGTGCGTCGGCTACAGTGAACTCTGTGTGCTAGTGCTGTGATTCCACTCAGCAGTGTTGGACAGAGAGCTACAAAAGCTCTATTGTGTAGGTGACTGTGACTGAGCTGGCTCCCAAAACTTTGGTTGGTCCCGGTAGGCGTGTTAGTGAGTGCTTGCATGTGTGTGTGTTTGTGTGAGTGTGTGAGTGTGTTGGTAATGGTAGTGTAAGAGGCACACAGTGTAGAGCGGGACAGGTTGTGGTAATGAATGCTCCAGTGTGTTTGGTTGGACTCCAGTCCACTGAGCGGTCGTCAAGATGGTCTCTGCTGCCGCCACACTCCTTTTCTTCTTCCTCAGCTGCGGTGAGTTATTTTAGAAATCTTCTTAAAAATAATCTAAACTCTTCATATGAAGATGTTCTTCCTCAGTATGAAGAAACAGAGGACTTCTATATATCTGTCTGCTTTGCTAAACTATACATGAACTTCTATAGACTTAGTTTGAACCTTGTTCAGTCTGTCTAGACTTAAAACCAGCTTTTGATCACAAGTAAGAGACTCTCTTTCTATTTTATATCAAGCTGACTTTCTGAATAGCTCTAAATGGTGTGCTAAATCAAAGCTGAACACACTGTTCAGCATTTATGCACTACTCTTGTATGGAAAAGTGAGTAAAAATCTGTGCAGACCTCTGAAAATTTGTGCAGATGTACCTTAAATATGTGTGTTTAAAGTTCTATCAGTCTTCCAGCTGTGACTCGATAAATATTTGCTTCCTTCAGATAGAGGAGGTCCAGCTGGTTGCTTCACGGTACATTGGGAACATTTTGTCTCTTTTTATCTTCTAATGTGAGGAAGTCTCACTGGGTCTCTCTTCATTTGCTCCTCTGGAACTAATTCTGAAACGATCTGGAACATTGTGCATATTCTGTGTTTCTTATGCTTAACGTAGGTTGATGGCGGAGGTTCATTCCACTTTGTTGCTTAATTCTTATTGATGGACAGGCTTGCACAATCCTCTCACACTGTGTTCATGCTAAAGCTGAGTTTTCTGACTGCAAACAGTCAGATTTAAAATCATATGATTGTAATTGCACAGACATGCTGACATTTATTTTGTTTCATGCACTCACAATGTAAACATCAATGACATTTCATCCAGGATATCCTGTGTGCTCACAGTACTGCATGAGCATCATTAAAAGGTCATTATTCAAAGAAACCAAAAGTTTAAGTAAACACAGCCTTTCTAGAATGTAAAGTGATGAAATCAAAATTCAGAGGCTGAGCAAAGGCACTATCTCCAACATCAGCTTTGTCTTTCCACTGCCTTGTTTGAGGTTTATTACCTCCGCCAAGGAGGTTAAGTTTTCGGTAGTGTTGGTTTGTTGGTTTGTTTGTTTGTTTGTTTGTTGGTTTGTTTGTGAACAACTTTATGGAGAAAGTTACAGACGGATTGACCTGAAATTTTCACCAGAGATGCGTCTCAGCCCCAGGACAATCCCATTACATTTTGGTGGTGATCCGGATCGCCTTCTAGATCCAGGAATTTTTGAAGGATTCTTCATCATTGTGAGATAGGGCAAATTTTGGAATTTTTGCATTTAACTCTATAAAAATGGCCAGAGTCTTTAGTAAAAAATTACACAAAAGGATCTCAATGAGTTTTATGAGGTGTCAAAGGTTGATCCTGATCCAGACAAAATTCTGGATACTGTGATCCAGAACACACAAAAATAAGGGTGTTGTTGGAATTTTCAATGCTGAAAGATAACCAATGGGCGGCACAGTGGTGTAGTGGTTAGCACTGTCGCCTCACAGCAAGAAGGTCCTGGGTTCGAATCTGGGTCAGGGCATCTCTTGTTTTAGGAACTTAATGAACAGTGAACATACCAGTTTAAACACAAATAAAAGTTAATAAAAGCCACGTAACAGTAACAGTTTTGGTGTGAATCACATTATAAGGGGGGACATGAGCTGCTTGGCGGAGGACTGCGCTCTCCGAGTGCTTTTCTAGTTTTTACAATAAAGTAGGTCTGTACGATTCATCAATTTTAAATCATAATTTGATTATGACGATGAGAAAAAAAAAAGATTAAAATCGTTAAATTGATTTTCCTCTCTATCATGTCTCACACCTCGAGGCCACCGAAGGCTCCCCCTTCCTGCGGGAGCACTCCCCAGTTCCCACACACACCAGTGTAAACAAACATGGCGTTTGAAAAAGTAGGCAATAATTTCGTGGCTAAAAGGGGCAAAAGAATGTAAGGTATTAGTACGGCTTCACAGTTTCTGATTATGAGCAAACCACTCCCCACTGCGAAGTCTGTCTGAAGGCGGTATCAACCTGTCCACACGAAAAACCAATTCAGGAGTAAATACAAAAGTTTACTGTAGTATCAGCGTTTCATCCACACAGAAACAGTGTTTCAGGTGACTGTAAACAGAACTTTTTGAAAACAGGTCAGAGAGTGCATAAATCCCAAAAGGACTACCGTTACATCTTTGTGTGTGGATGCTTGTCTGCATCTCTCAAAATTATTATGTGACACACACCATAACGCTTATATAGCGCCTGCATGTGTTTGGCCAAAACAACCTTTATACACATGCTCTGTACTCTTCTGTCTTTTCAGCTCTACTTACTGTCTTGGCATATGCACAACATGGTTTCCAGTGGTTTTCGTTTTGAGAGATGAAAGAAAAGGTTTTAAGTTAAGTTTGGTGAAGTTGTCACTGGATAAAAAATCAAAATCGAAAATTGAGTTTTCAGAAGAAAAAAAAAAGGATTTTATTTGGCCAAAATCGGGCAGCTCTACAATAAAGTGATAATTTTGGAATACAACTGCTTAAACAACAGGATAACTTCTTCTGTATTTGCAGCATACAGTAAGTACACAGGCAGTTATTTTCAAAAATCCAGGGTAAGGAAACACAGCAAACTTTCTTCTTCTCTGCAACACTGTGATCTCTGAATTTTACAGGAGTCAGAGAGAGGATGAGATGAAAAAATCATGTCATAGTTTGTCCAGTGTAAAATGTTCGGCACTGTCTTACTACAGCAGTCATGTTGAGAACTCAATTTAGGCTTGTGAAGGTAATTACATCTGAGGGCTGTTACTGCAACAAGAAACCATGTGTTCCTTTTCTCTGTGACCAGACGGAGCCTCTCTTCTGTCTCTGCAGCAGGATGTAATATTTGCAGATGACTCGGCAGCTAGGATTTCTGGTGTGTGTATGTGTGTTTGCGTGTGTGTGTGTGTGAGTGTGAGTGTGAGAGACGCATAAGCAGGATTTGGATGTCCATCCAGCCAACAGTTCATTTGGGTTCAGCTTCTTTTCCTTCAGAGTTAAATCTTTGTGAATGAGTTTTCCTGTTTCCTCATGATCTTCATTCCTATTGGTCCATTTTTCTAAGGGGTCACAGGTTACTGGTGTCTAAGCAACACACTGGTTGCACTGAGGGGTTTGAGGGTAGAGAGCTGTTGACTTGGAGATGAAATGTGGCTGAACTGGCTTCCTCTGTTTCAAACCCTCCATGTCCCTGCGGTGTCAGTTAGTTTTTCACACAGACATATCCCAACAAAACTGAATGAACTGTTATTACACCTTATACTTTTATCTTCTCCTGCTCTCCCCAATCTACCTCTGTTTTTTTAATGTGGAAAAAAAAATAGTTTCATTAAAAAGGAATAAACCAGAAAACTAAATGCCCTCTAAGGTGGTGATGATCTTAGCCCAGAGCATAACTTTGGACTGCTTCAGTACTATCAATGCCTGTAGGCTGCATACTGCTCACGTGAAATGCTGTTGAAGTACAAGCTGTGCCTCCAGTCCCACAATTTAACAGTGAGTTTAGCAGGCCCTATGTGAAGAAGCTTTTTTGTGATATTTTGGGAGTCAGATTGTGGTTGCACACATATATGTGTGGCGTGGACAAGGGTTGACCTGTGTCTTTTTATCCTGGGTTTTATCCTGCTTTCATTTTATTTCACTCGGCTTCTCCTCCTCATCCTGCTCTCCCTTCCTTGATGCCTTCTTTTTCTCTCTCTTTCCACAGTGAACCTCATCCCCACGACACCAGCAGTGGAGCAGCGTCCCTTCCAGACTGCAGATGGAGGCGTAGGTGGAGCTCTGGGAAAAAGCAGGAAAAGAGTTTTTCCAGTGCCTCACACCCAGGAGCCCGACCCCGTGGCTGGTGCTTACGAGTACTGCAACACTCCCAACCGCAGTGAACAGGCATTGGAGGGTAAGATTTGCACACTGACGATTAAGACTATTAAGGCTATTTATCTAGTGACAGGCTGCATGCCCACTGAGTTAATGCATGTCTCTGAGTTTGGTTAATTGTACTGTTTTTGTTTCTGCTTTAGTCACAAGTAGTGTCATAGCATCTCCGTTTCAGAGCTCCAACAACAAACCTTCTGAATCGGCCCATTTGATAGACAGCAAATGCTTCTCACAGCAATAACGTCAGATTTAGTGTGTCAGGACCCGAGGCATGTGCTAATTGAGTGAAACTCATTTCCACTACATTGCATCATCTATAATACTGCAGCTCTCTGTCTGTACGGCTCAGTTTAGCAGCGAGCACCTCTGTGTTTTCCCCCCAATGAAAAGTCAGCAAAGCCCGAGGCAGTCACACAATTATGCCTCTCTGCCTAAGACAAGCAAGGGCAGCCTCAGCTAATTGAATTTAACTCGGTTTATCTCTGAATTGCAGTTTTGTGTTAAAAGAAAAAAAATCTATTTCTCCATTAGAGGAGTTTAGGAAGTTATTGAAACCTAATCAGAAGCAGGTGGTGTAACTTTGCTCATTTTCTTAGAGCTCTGAATAATTCCACTCTTTGTACTCCAGAGTATGAACAACAGGTTAGGAATGTGATAAAAGCTTCTGAGGATTCAGTCAGATTGTTATGTGGAGCATTCAGCCTTGTCAAATGTTTCAGGGGATTTTTATGGTACGTAAAGCTTTGTGATATCTGTCTATTGTCTTGATGTGAGTAAAAGTTCAGCCCAGCTCCGTCCCTTTGAGCACTGTTTCGGTTTCCAACAAAAAACACAGATTGGAGTTTCCTGTATCTCTAAGTATCACTGATGTGGAGCCGCAAACTGAAACAGAAAAGAACTCAGGAATAACATGTTGAAAGTGATAAAAAAATCTCTTTTTTAGTTCAGAAAACAGCAGGGTAAAGGATAATTCTTAGTTCTCTTGTTATTTTTATACCTTCATTTGATGCAACCATTTGATTCACTGCCAGTGAAGAGTTATTAATGTGTTATAATGCATAAACAACGGAAAGCAAGTGCTCTCATCTTTGTCTTCATCTCATACTAAAGGCTGTCTGTATTTGTTTTATTCTTTAACCAGCAGAGAGTAAGAACTACAACCTGAACATTTAGGTTTCTTCAAGTACTGATAAAAGTTTCCCCAAAATCAAAACAACAATTCTTTTCACCATACCTGTTTGCTCTTGACACTCTCCTCTTTCAGGCCACAGCCTTCCTGACTACAAGCTGCTGTCAGTCCAGATTATGATCCGCCATGGTGACCGTTACCCAATCTACTCCATTCCCAAAACCAAACGACCCGCCATAGACTGCACCTTATCCAGCAGCAGGTACATGCGCCATTTAAGATTTACTGTTCGAATGTGAATTATCTAAGAATCACGTTGGTTATGGGCAGGAATGAGAGTAAACATGGTGAGTACCCCAGAGCTGCCATGTCCTGCACCAGCTCCACAGCTTGGATGCTTTTAACAATAAACAACAATAGAAGACAGGAAGTAAAAATGATGAGACTGTGTATAAATCAGACAGCACAGAGCTATGAAGGTTTACATGTTTTCACTGTTCAAAATACAAAGAGTTAGCCTCTTGCCAACTTGTTTGTTGTTTGATTCAGTTTGTGCATCGGGGAATGTATACAGTGGATATAAAAAGTCTACACACCCCTGTTCAACTGCCAGATTTTTGTCATGTAAAAAAATTAAATCAAGATAAATAATTTCACAACTTCTTCCACCTTTAATGTGCCCTATAACCTGTACAACACAATTGAAAAACAAACCAAAATCTTTCAGGGAGGTGAAGTAAAAATAAACAACTGAGATCATGTGGATGCTTAAGTGTGCACACCCTTTAATAACTGGGGATGTGGCTGTGTTCAGATTTAACCAATAACACTCAAACTCAGGTTAAATTGGACTCAGCACACACCTGTTACCAATTAAAGTACCTCTGATCAACCCCAAATAAAGTTCAGCTGTTCTAGTAGCTTTTCCTGACATTTTTGTAGCCACATCTTCCAGCACCAGCTATGGTCTGCAGAGAGCTTCCAAAGCATCAGAGGGATCGCATTATTCAAAGATATCAGTACGGTGAGGGCTACAAAAGAATTTCCAAGCAATTAAATATACCATGGAACACAGTAAAGACCGTCATCATCAAGTGGAGGAAATATGGCACAATGGTGACATTACCAAGAACAGGACGTCTGTCCAAAATTGATGACAAGACGAGAAGAAAACTGGTCAGGGAGGCTGCCAAGAGGCCGACAGCAACACTGAGGGAGCTGCAGGAATTTCTGGCAAGTCCTGGCTGTGTAGTACATCAGACAACGATCTCCTGCTGCCTTCATATGTCTTGGCTATGGGGTAGGGTGACAAGACGGAAGCCTTATCTCACAATGAAAAACATCAAAGCCTGGCTTAATTTTGCAAAAAGACATCTGAAATCTCCCAAACACGTGGGAAAATGTGTTATGGTCTGATGAAACCAAAGTTTAACTTTTTGGGCATCATTGCAAAAGGTATATTTGGCGCAAAATCAACACTGCTCATCACCAAAAGAACACCGTACCCACAGTGAAGCATGGTGGTGGCAGCATCATGCTTTGGGGCTGTTTTTCTTCAGCTGGAACTGGTGCCTTAGTCAGGGTGGAGGGAATTATGAACAATTCCAAATACCAGTCAGTGTTGGCCCAAAACCTTCGGCCCTCTGCTAGAAAGCTGAAGATGAAGAGGAACTTCATCTTTCAGCACGACAATGACCCAAAGCACACATCTAAATCAACAAAAGAATGGCTTCACCGGAATAAGATTGAGACTTTGGAATGGCCCAGCCAGAGTCCAGACCTGAATCCCATCGAACATTTGTGGGGTGATCTGAAGAGGGCTGTGCACAGGAGATGCCCTTGCAATCTGTAAGATTTGGAGAGGTTTTGCAAAGAACCTCTCCACGCTGATAGACTCCTACCCAAAAAGACTGAGTGCTGTAATAAAAGCCAAAGGTGCAATAAAGTATTAGTTTAAGGGTGTGCATATTTATGCAGCCAGGTTATTTTAACTTTTCTATTTTTTATTTTTCCCCTTAAAGGTTTCAGTTTGTTTTTCAATTGCATTGTACAGGTTATAGGTCACATTAAAGGTGGAAAAAGATGTAAAAATATTTATCTTGCTGTCATTTTCGTACATCACTAAAACCTGGCAGTTAAATAGGGGTGTGTAGACTTTTTATATCCACTGTACATCCTACTGGGGCAAGGACACTTGTCCATTGAAGTTATTCTATAGAGCTTTATCAGCAGTTGGCACACCCAACTCTAAACTTTGACATCTTGCTCTGGAGTAAAGCCAGAACAGTGAAGGAGGAAGCTGAATTGCTGGAGGAATGGGAGTGGTTATGCATGCAAGCATGCATGCCTATGCTAATCCTCCCTCCTCCCTTGGCACCACAGGAGCTATTTCCAATCACCTTGTAGAAGCTGTTTTATCAGTGGAAACAGTTTTCCTATTACATGAACCACAGGAACAATACAGAGACGTTTTACCTAAATCTACTTCCGCAATCAGACTTGATAAGCTGCAGGATGACCAAAGTCTCTATATGTATGTTTGTAAGAAGAAATGTGTTTTTCCATCATATTGGACCCTTACATTAATTTCATTGTAATGTGAGGTGCTTATAAATACTTACCAAGAAAACACATCGACTCTGAGATACCTCTTATTTTGAAAGCCCTAGCATTTGCGCACAGCATGGAAACACTAGTGACATACTGTACATGTATGTAATCAGTGAGATGCAGATACTTTTGCAACAATCAGGGAATGCAGTCATACTACTCAGTCAGTTAGACTAATCAGCATCTCTCTTGAAGTAGGTGCAGCTTTAAAGTCCCACTCCAATCCTTTTTTTTTTTTTTTGTACTACTTTAATGTTCCCAGTGGTTGTTAAATTGTGATTATGAGGCTGTGATTATTATAATGCACATGCTTGTTTGCGATTGTCCTCTCTATTTCTCCTCTATATGCAGTGTGGCCTGGGGGTGGAGCTTGGATTGGTTACATATGAACTCTCACTATTTCTGAACCTGTCCTTTGGGATTCACAGCGATTTAAATGAAGAAATACTCAGAAAAGCAATTTCGCATTTAGTTTTCCCATGATATGTCCTGTAGCATCAGAAAAATGCCATATAAACATATAAAAAAACAAGAAAAACACTATTTTCAGCAAGAGGGTCTTTAATAAACAGCTTTTTACAATTAGCAGATACTTGAAACCAAGAAAGACAAACTTATTACTCAAACAGGCAGTGTAAAACATGCCTATGAGTTGAACTGGAAATGTGCACTTTTGAATACTTGTTTATCTAGCCCAAGTTACATCCTCTTACATTATGTAGCATTGTCATTACCCTTTGAAGATTTGCCTCATATCTCGCAGGCCTAGTGTCCACTGCCATTGCTTCTTCCTGATTTAATCCTGTAAACGAAAAAAGACAAGCAAAGACCAAATATGAAAAGCCTAACAAGGAGCATTGTTTTACTTTTCACGGGCTTTCAGAGTCTGAGGATAAAGGCCAACTATTTTAATTGGTACAGGTCAGAGTAAAGGGCGCACAGAGCGAATGGGATTTAAGCTGTCTCCCTGCAAAGAGCCCCAGCTCCATTTAATACCATACAAGAGGACTTGCTGGAGAGAGCAAGACACCAATTACTGCTGCAGCTTCACTTATCCTCCTGAAAAAAAAAAAAAAACTGTGAGTTGATAGCAGCTGTCAGGAAAGAGAAACTGTTTTTGAGGCCTAAAACAAGAGGTGACAGGCTAATTTTCAGATTCAGATCATGCTCTGTGTGAGCAGGATGAGAGATCAGATCAGATTCACATTCACATTTCCTCTGTTTGTCAGCAGCATTGCATGTGTCAACGATTGCATGTGGGTTTGGTTAACTACATCTGCTCTGCTGTGCTGTGGTGCAAACCAATACACAAGAAGAAAGATGACGACACCAGAATGAGTGTGTGATTGTGTGTCAGTGTGATTGTGTGTGGTTATTTGTGTCGTTGGCCATCTTATCTGACATGATTGGAGGAGCATGCTCCCTAAGCAGCTCTGTTAAAGCAGAATTGTTGCTGCTACAGTAACTCCCCAGAGAAATGTGGGTGGAAAACAAACATGCACACACTCAAACACACAAATAACAAGCATTTTTATCGAGCTTGATCTGTGTCCTCATCTGTATCTCTGTCTCTGCTCTCATTGGTTCTGCTCCTCTTTCAGATGAGAGCTCCTGATAGCGTTTATTAAAAGCCAGCTCACTGCTGTACCTCAGCTTCAGAGGAAGTCTTAAATCAGCACTTTCACATCCAGTTTCTGTGTGAATACACCAACTTAAATTCATACAAACTCCTGGTGAGCTGTAAAAACAAACTGTGCTATTTTTGAAACCAGAAAAAAATAGTTCAGGGCAGGCTGAATGTTTCACTGAGTGCTCACAGTATTAGAGCATATGGTACCAAAATATCCAAAAGCCAGTCCAAGACTGTGTACCTGAGTTGAGAACCAGCCAATAATGACTTCACTCAACACAAAGCTGTCACTGCGGCTGTATCAGCTCTGCACATCTGGACAGAGCTGGCTCGGTTTAATCTTTGGAGCTGGCACTGGTAGACTCAGTGTTGTTGTTTTCAGATTGGTAGGATGCAGGTCAGCTACTGTGCTCATTTATTATCTGGATTCACTTTATACTTTTGAGCTTTGATCTGGAGATGAAATCAGGCCAGCAAGTTCATGAGCTTTTCATAAAAAAAAAAAACAGAAATCAGTTTTTAATCAGATCTTTGCCTCTACTATCTGATGAACCGCTGATGCTCTGAGATCCCCAATCCAAACTGGACTGTGACATTTTTAATCTGATGCACCCTGGTTACAAACTTTATACGTCATTAAACAGGGGACGGACGAAGAACAAGTAGCAGCTGTGAGCTGTCTGCCCTCTGAGAGATGATCCAGCCTTTTTTAAAACAGATGTTCAAGATTTACAGTCAATCCAAAGACAATATTTGACCTTGTGTCTTTCTCACAATCTCATAACTGTTCCTATGCACTGAAAAACAGTCGAATGAATGCACGAGGGATGAGTACGCCAGTGCTGTGCTCCAGTGCAGCCTCATAGAGCTGCAGGTATGGCTGCAGACTCCTGTATGATAGCATCATTTCTCTCCGGGTTGGAGTTGGTCTTATGGATAATAAAAAGGGTCAGAGACGCCTGTACAGGATAAGTGATGTTTGTCAAAGAGGGTATTGATTATTTCAGGTTTAAATGTTGTGTCTTAGTTCAGTTTAAGAAGTGTATTTGATATTTCTGTCCCTCTTAGTCATAATGCTGGTAGTTCTGTTTTTATTTACAGAAGGGTGTAATTACAGGGATCTGAACTAGCATATGCCCAGGGCTGGATCCTGACTGAAAGCTCACTCAGCTGTGTGTTTATCTGTGTGTGTGTGTGTGTGTGTGTGTGTGTGTGTGTGTGTGTGTTTCTGTGCTGGCACCAGCTTGCCGACCCACTGTCTCCGTCTGCGGTTAACTGAGCTCTGTTCAGCAGGGAGCATCACTCTCTTTCCTTTTCATCTCCCTGCTCTGACATCTTTCTCAAGGTTCTGTCTCTGTGAATCTGCACCAATCCACTCCATTCAGAGCACTCCACACCATTTCATCATTTCCTCTAGTCCTTATTTGTTCCTCTTTTTTTTTTCTCATCCCTCCTTCCCCCCTCTGCTAATCTCTCCCCTCTCCTATCACTGATGATAATCCCCGCTTAATGTAATTGGGCTCCATAATCTGTGGTTAGCAACAATCAATCTAATAGTCAGCCTGGCTGTCTCTTTGTCCACACAAGTACCCCCCATCTGCTGACGTCCTGTCTCCCAGTGCAGCCAATTAAATCTGTAAAGCATAGTGAGTCCCAAACTCCCCTCAGCACACAGATTTGCTGTTGACAGAGCAGAATAATGTCCTCCACTGCCCCGTGATGCAAATAAAAGTGAATATTGAAGCCATATAATCCTGTGAAAGGGAGGGCAGAAACATGTGACAACAACTGCTGATGCTAAAGCACAGAGTTCCCTTAAATCCATTGAATATTGCTGAGGTCTTGTACGTGAAATAGAGCTTTGAAATAAATCAGCTTTTCTATGGAAACTAAAGAGAAACATGCAGATTTGTCTTTCCCGGATAAACTTCTCTGTTTCTGTTTTTTTTTCCTACTGTTATAAGGACAATTTAATGACATGAGCTCTTTTTTATGCTGTGTTCCAGAACTATTGCATGATCACTATGGAAACAGCATTTGTGTGTGTGTATTTGTGTGTGTGTGTGTATTTGTATTTGTGAGAGTGTGTCTTTAATCTGAGCGAGCTGAGCTGCAGCCTCCACAGATTTGTTTTATTAAACTGTAATCTTCAATCATCTCTAATCTATTAGATAACCGACTGCTCTGACCGCTGCCCTCATCTCTTTGTGTCGTGTTTGTGTGTGTGTGTTTGTGTGTATGTTGTTTTACTGCTCTCATGTGTTCAGGTACTGTGTCTGTGTGTGAATCCTTTGGTAGAAACATTCTTTCATCTTTTTATATCTCCGTCTCTCATTCTTCATCCCACACATATTAAATAGAGCTGTAGTGTTGGGTTAGGGCGACACCTGGTGGATGATAAAAATACAGCTTGTTCATGTCATTCACACTGAAAGTGTTTACAGCCTTTCTTAGGTGGTATACAGAAGTTCTCTGCATGCTGAAATGAAATATCAATGCAGTTTTATGTTGGTATATGATACAATTTAGATGCAAGCTTTATTTTCTTTAAGTAGAAGGAAAATAAATTAATATTTGTGGGATATTTATTTGTCTGGGGTATTTTTTCAAAAAGAGGTACCTTTCTTCCATAGGGATGCACACTACTGTCTGCTAGGTCTGCACAATTAATCGATTTTAAATTGTTATCATACTACTTGATAATGACAATGGTAAAAAAATTAAAATCACCAAATTGATTTTCCTCTCCAACATGCAGGAGAGCTCCCTAGTTCCCACACACACCAGTGTAAACAAACATGGTGTTTGCAAAAGTAGGCGATAATTTTGTGGCTAAAAGGGGCAAAAACATGTAAGTCGTGGAATTAGTACGGCTTCACTGTTTCAGATAAAGAGCAGACCACTCCCCGCTGCAAAGTCTGTCTGAAGACAGAATTCAGGATGAAAAACAAATTCAGTAGCAAACACAAAAGTTTATAGTAGTATTAGTGTTTCATCCACACAGAAACAGTGTTTCAGGTGACTGTAAATGGTACTTTTTGAAAACAGTCAGAGAGTACATAAATCCCAAAAGGACTACCGTTTCATCTCTGTGTGTAGATGCCTATCTGCATCACTCAAAATTATTATGTCTCACACACAGCGTAACTCTTATATAGCACCTGCACGTGTCCGACCAAAACAACCTTTATACACATGCTCTGTACTCTTCTTCTGTCTTTTATGCATTACCTGCACACAACACAGCTCCACTTATTGGCTTGGCATATGCATGACATGGTTTTCAGTGGTTTCGTTTTGAGAGATGATAGAAAAACTTACTAACTTATTAAAGTGAAGTTTGGTGAAGTTGTCATTGAATAGAAAATCTAAAATCCAGTTTTCAGAGAAAAAATTAGGATTTTATGTTTGGCCAAATTCGTGCAGCCCTACAGTCTGCATAACATCAGAACCTTTACATCACATTACACCTTCACATCAGACGCTTTTAAGGTTAATTATTGACACTGGCAGGTATGTTGATATCTCCAGTCTCACTGTTAATAACCAGTAAGATAATATACTAAATATGACAGCAATGTGTTTGACATTAATTGTGTAATTGGGTAATCTGCTTGTTTTCTGGTACTGTTCCATGTTGTCTAGGGGTTTCCACCAATTGAAATTAAGTCTTCAACACAATTGGGTAATAAACAAGTAAATCAGGAAAAAACTGGTTCATACAACTGTTAAACAAAGGTGTGATTAAATACGAGTTATACAGTTATACAGGGCAGCTAGGTCATGTTATGCACTAAGTGGCAGGTTAATGTCGCAGTCACGGGGTAAAGTAGCATGGTGTCAAATGCTAAGAAAAGCAAATAGAAAATAATACAGGGTGTGATACAGGACAGTAGTGATGATGTAAGGAGCAAATATTCAGAAGTGTAAAAAAGAACACTCTGCAGACACTGCAGGCAGCTCATCAGTGCAGCTGCTGTCAAGGATAGTCAACATCCCCTGAAATGAGAACATGTTAATGACAGCAGATGACAGAGTCAGATACTCTTCAGTTCTGTGTGGTTATCCCCACTACATGCCACTCAAACTCTCTGTCATTCACGTCCTCAGGAAGCCCTCCCACCCTCTGTTGAACTCCTTCATCAGTCACATGGGCCAGGGAGGGCAAGGCCACTGGGAGTCACCACTGAGCTCGGTCCCCCGTCTGCCCAACCACAGTGCCTGTGAGATGGGAGAGCTCACACAGACAGGTAGGCAATACAGACCGTCACCACCATACACAGGAGTTTTTTTTCTAACTTCAACCAAAGCTGGACTTGAGTGGAGCACTTTTGCATGCTTTGTTGTACCTATCATCTGTAAGCGAATAGTTAGTTTAAAACTCTTAATTTTTTGTACCAACTCATGAGAATCAGTTAAATTCAAATGGCAAACAGGCGTTAATCTTGTCTCCATCTTTCTCAGGTGTTGTTCAGCATCTACGCAACGGCCAGCTCCTCCATCACGCCTACAAACACCACAACCTCCTCCCTCCAAAGTGGTCACCTCGCCAGGTTTGGGTTGAGACCACAGGTAAAAGCCGCACCCTCCAGAGCGGACTGGCGTTCCTCTACGGGTTCATCCCAGACTTTGATTGGTCGAAGCTGACCGTGCGGCACCAGTGGAGCACGCTTTTCTGCGGATCAGCCTGTGACTGCCCTGCCAGGAACCGATACCTGGAGGAGGAGCAGAAGAGGCAGTATCGGATCAGAGTGAGCGATACTGAGCTGGAGAAGACTTACGTTGACATGGCTCGGACTCTGGGTGTGCTCACCCGCCAGCTCAGAGCTGCGAACCCTATAGACTCGCTCCTGTGCCACCTGTGCCACGGCATTTCTTTCCCATGTGTCCCCGTGGGAGAAAGTGGTGCCGGTGGATGCCTGACGATGGCACAGTTTGCTGTGATCCGTCGCCAGCAGCTTGACGACGAGGTTGATCGTAGACAAGCCAAGTTGTACCATAAATACGCAATCATGGCCATGTACCCCTACCTCAACAGAACTGCAACCAAAATGGAGCGTGTCGCCAGGGACAACGAGGCTGGTCGGCAGCGGCGTGCAGGAGGCGAGGAGGTCTTCACCCTCTCCTCAGCCCATGATGTGACCGTGGCCCCACTGTTGAGTGCTCTAGGACTGGAAGAGGCTCGTTTCCCACGCTTCGCAGCAAGGCTGGTCTTTGAACTGTGGAAGAGTCCCCCAGCTATACAAGGACAGCCGAAGAAGAAAGCTGGCAAAGGAGAGAAGTCAAAGGCGAAAGATGGGGAGCTGTTCCTCAGGGTGCTGTACAACGGCGAGGATGTGACATTTCACACCACCTTCTGCCGCACTCACGACAGACACGCCGGCCAGCCTCTCTGCCCTCTAAAAAACTTCCTGTCTTTTGTCAGGAAAGATATGTTCAGAGTTGTCAACGCTACGTCCTACCAGGAGGCCTGCTACGGGCGCCCTGTGTGACAGAGCGACAGATGGTGAGGACGGTGCCTATATGAGGATGAAGAGTTGGCAGATGGTTGGGTTTTTCTAGTTACTTTCCACTCTAAAGATGGTGCACTTTTATGCTGCTCATAGTGTCTTAAAATTCCACAGATTTTTAAATGATGTACTTGACATTCAGCACAGAGAGAGTAGCAGAGACACAGTAAGACATATCTCTGTCTGATCTTTAACTTTCTAACCTTTTCTACAAACGTTTTAACTCAACTTTTGAAAATATTGAAGGTGTTCTGAAGCAAACCTGTCAGAGATGAGCAAGAGGGAAGATGTATGGCACATAGCCACTTTATTTCTACCGTCAACAATAATATGGAACTTTTATCATTCCAGTTGTTTAGGTGATTGCAAAAAAAAAAAAACGAAAAAGGGACATTAAAGTTTGAAATACTTTGCTGGATGATTGTTTGAAATCCTTTTTGTATATCAGCTCTTTCTGAAGCAAGTTAGACTTTGGGTTTAGTGCGACTCTAACCCAACATGACGCATCTATCACTTTGATCTATCTGGGTTATGTTGGGATTTTTTGCAATACACTGTGTCAGTTCATCTTCATTTTGACACTTCAGCTTTTGTCTGTTTTGTTTCAGTAATAATCATTCAGTTGGTACTTTGGAAATACAAGTGTGAGACTCTACAGTACATCTGTATTTATAGTCATTGATGAAATAATAACACTACACTTGTTTTGGCTTGAAGGAACTTTAATCTAATAAAGTTTGATTCTGAACAGAAATTTTACATCTATTGTGAGTGGTTTGAGAAGAAATTAGGGTTGTCTGAAAAAAATCAATACAGCTTTGTATTGCGATATTTCGTCTGCTGATACCTCATCATCTCATTTACCAAGTATTTTTTATTTTTATTTTTTTCAATTAAATGTGAAGTCAAATCTGTGGAATTATTATTATTATTATTATTATTATTATTATGGAAATAATAAAATCAACTATTTGTCCAGTGAGGTTGGCAGAGGTGACATTATAGAGCAGGAGAAAGTTAATACAACAAATATATATATGGTTTGCAAGATGTGCTACATGAAAATAAAATACTGTGTAAATAAACATAACGGAAAGACAAATGCTAAATTAGCTAAACAGTTAAAAATATTGTATAAATTGCAATATATGGTATTGCGATACTCACTGTAATGCAAAATATAAAAAAATGCAATAATACCGTATCGTGGTAAGTATCGTGGTAATATTGTATCATGGGGCCACTGCTAGTAGAAATGATCAATTTACATGACAAGTTATTACGTTTATGTACAAACCTGATTCTGAACACTTTAGATGTTGTGAAAAATATAAACAAAAACTCAGAAATAAGAGAGGTTCATCACTCTGTGAGAGACTGCGCAAGCCAACGGTTCAACAGTTTCAGAATAATGTTCCTGAGAGTCAAATGTGTAAGAATGAGTGGATTTTGTCATCTACAGAACATCACATCGTTAAGAGATTCAGAGAATCTGGATAGGCAGTGCTGCATTAAAAACAGACAGAACTCTGGAGTAAAAACCACTGCATAGAGTCAGTTACATCCACAAACCATTGTGCATGAACACAGTTCATCACTGCGTCCACAGATGAAGGTTAAAACTGAACCATGAAAAGAGGAAACATGATTAAATAATGATCCAGAAAAAACAGACTTCTCTGGACGTGATCCCATTTAAGATGGGCCGAGGGGACGTAAAAAACTGTCCTGTGGTCTGATGAATCAAAATTTGACATTAATTTTGGAAATCATGGATGCTGTGTTCTTTGCTCAGCAGGGTAGAGGGACCACATGGCATGTTATCAGCTCACAGTCCAAATCCAGGATCCCTGATGGTATGGGGATCATCAGAGTTCAATTAACAAAATGATTTGAGAAGGATTCAATCCTGATATAATTAACATTTTACACAGCATCTCTTTCTTTGAGTTGGGGCTTTCCAAAGTGTTTAAACTCTGATGTAAAAAAAATATATCCCACTGCCACCTCTTACATTTTGAACCACTAGATGGTGTATTTGCTCCACAGACCTCCTTCATAAAGAGTTTTGCCCATCTGCTGCAATCAGTTATCCGCTCTGTCAACAGTGCTGCAGGGGAAGAAGCACATAGTCAATACATTTATATAAATGTAAAACCTTGAGTGCCTATTCCCCCGCCGGCAGACGAGTCATGTGTCATCATCATTATGAACACAGCACCACGCTGACAAGATATCAATTGTGCAGCTCATTTTCAGAAGTGCTGCAGCTCGCTTGCCGAGCTTTTTTCGGTTCAGAGTTTCCAGAATAAGGAGAGTATTGACTGGAAAAATGTAATAATACAACTAAGTTTAGTGAATCACATTTTCAGTCTGTAGACTTGGATTCATCCAGGCACAACAAGGTTACTAACAACTGATCAGATTGGTGTTAAGATACATTTCAAACGTCCTCATCAAGCTTGTCTTTTGGTACACAGTCAGGACAGATCATAGACCACCAGAAGTGTTATGTTCATGGATTCACTTAGTTTAATGTTTTCCAGAGGACACTCTGGAGCCTCGTTTGGACTGCAGTAACTTTCCGTGGAGGCTGAGAACTTTGGTGTGTTTCCACCTAAGGGTTCAAGATGAAGTCTCATGAACTTTTTATCCCCCCAAATTGTCCTACTTTCTCAAACTTTAGGGACTTGGGCTGGAAGTTGCAGTGCTGATTATTGATTGGTAGACTACTGTTAGCATACAAAGACTCTTTCACACTTTAGCGGACAAGCTCTCACAGGTCTTAAATAAACTTAAAGGAACTCAAATACACAGCCTCAACCCCGTCTCTTAGGCAGATTCTGGACTAATGTGAAATTAGTTGGAGGCGTTGCCATAATGGCGGTCCCTGAGTCTGAGCTCCAAAATGCTTTCTTAGAAACCTCAGAAAGGTCTGTTGTGAAAGCAGGTAAAAACTGGATGAAAGAAACCTTTAAATCCCAAGAAAAGGAGGAAATAGGACCACTAATCTGAGGTACTTTTTGTTAATAATTGTGGTCTTGATTCCTTTTAATCGCATGTTTTTTTGGTCGTTTTCAGCACGCCAAAGCTGCAGCTGCAGCAGCTGCTGTCACTGTGATTGATAACAACATCACTGTTTTGCTTTTAAATAACACGTTTCACTTAAAAACTCCCAGACAAGTTAGTTGACAAGTTAACAGTGATGTGCACTTTGTTTCAAATGTGAATAAAGAATCACTCAAGTAATCGAGCTAAGCATGCATGAGCAGATAATCAGACATATCAGCAGGCAACTACATGAGAAAAGCAGGTCCAACTCTTTCCCGCAGACCTGTAAGTGAAACTTGAAGTTGAGTACATCGTATGCAAAATGTGTTGCAACTGACTGCAAGGTGTTCATTATCGTGGAAAACTTGGATCTAAGGGATGTCCTCAGGTTGGCTTCACTGTCGCAGGGAATAAGAGTTTTTGATGCATGCAGGACCTGCATGTAACAAGAGAACAACCAAACTACAACTCCTGAAAAATTCAGACAGTTGCATTAATTAGGAATAAAAGAATCATAAATCAAAAAGTCAAGATCATAAAGTTCGTTTTATCATTTGATTCTCAAAATCAAAACTCTAATAAGAATTGCTTTTAACTTTTAATATGGGTGTAAAATCTCTTGAAAAATAACATAAAATGTGACTATTGTGATATATATAATGATTTTAAAAAATTAATGTTCGTCAGCTGTAGTTGATAAACATCTGAAAGCAGTTAAAGGTTACAAATATTTCAGTCTTTTGCCTCCTGTTTCACCCTGACCTTCGGCTCACATCTCAGTCTTAAAGTTGAGGGAAAACACACAAATGGATGCAAATTTATTCCCAAACCTCCCCTGTCATACTCCAAACCTCTCAGGCCATTTCCCGTGTTATTCTATGACATCAGGGTTGTTAATGATAGGAGCTAACCTTCACTGGCAAACCCCCACTCCTCCCCCTCCTGTCCTGCCCTCACCCACCAACGCCTTTCCCTCCAGGCCTGACACCCCACTGCCGCCTACGCCTCTGATGTCATCTGGCCCGAACGAGGTGGGGCAGCAATTTTTCTCCCGCCACAACTCACTTAATCTTTGATGTTGTTATGTTGCCTCCGGCTTTGGCTCACACACCAGTGTCTTGGTGTGTGTGAGACGTAAAGGGTAAAGACAGATCAAGGTGAATGCAGTGTGTGTGTACAGTTGTGTGTTTTCATATGGTCAGCCTGTGTGTGTGGCGCCCATTTGACCCACTGCTTTTAGATTTCCATAACTCAGGCTGTCCAGGATCCATACAGTATACGAGCGTACGTGCGTGCTTGCGTGTGTGCGTGCATGCGTGTGTGTGTGTGTGTGTGAGTTAAAGGGATGATGGGAGGACAGATGATGGACAGCTCTAACGGCAGGAGAGGATAATTGTGGTCAGAAGCGAAGATGGAAGACAGGGAAGGGTTGTGGTTATAGTTCAATGTTAACTTCATGGAATCATCCACAGACTCTCCTCCAGTAAAAACCGCAGATATGGCCACAGGTTTGAGGAATTAAAGAGACAGGGATTAAATTCCATGTTTTGAGGAGGTTTTTGAGGCAGAGCAGCAGCTTCCAGAACTTTCCATCAGAAGCAGCAGCTCAAGTTCAGGCTGATGCCGCAATGAAATGCGTCCGTCTTCCCACGGTGGGCTCTCCTGCCTCCATTCCTCTATAATTCATGAAACAAGACAGTTAGAGCATGTGTGGGAAGGACACATAATGGGCATCAGTTATCTTTTCTTACACCAAGGTGACAGTAAAATAATCAGACTCAAATTTCAACAAAATGAGGCCTTCAGGGAACCTGGGATGTTCCAATCTTTGGGATCCTTCTGCTGCTCAAATGACAACTTTATGAAGTGACTTTTGAAGCCTCTATAATCTGTCTCAATCGAACAACCAAATGCAACACTTTGATATCTCCATACCTCTTCTACGAGCCCAAAAAACATTTTAAACCCTGCATACAAAGCCCTTGAAACCACATTTTAGCCATTTTAAACACACTTGTGAGGCTTGTTGAAATTTCTAAAAGACAGACAATGTTTGGAGAGCTCCTCCACTCACATCCACAATGACTCCCTTAAATTGGACTTCCTCTCCTTGGATGATGCTTGTGCTTACTGCCTCTCAGGATGCGTCATGCCACTGTTTACAAGGCCTACTTGACTAAGCAAGTGGCATCGATACAGGAAGTGCTGAGCACAACACAAATAATGTTAAGGGCTTGAACCAGCTGGACTCCCAAAATTTTGAACTACTCCTTTAAAAACTACATTTATGTCAAACACATGAGAGCTGAAAGCTGGTCAGCTGGCCTTGAACCTGCTGAGCCATAAATACTCTCAGTACATAAGGGGTCATTTTTTAAGAGATGAGGAGACGCAGAGAGGACAAACGTGTGTGTGTGTGTGTTAAGTTTAGGGTCAGCTAATTGGAGTCTGAAGTGTGTGTCTGTCTGTGTCTAGACTGTGCCATGTTGTTTTCTCAGATGTGGAGACTTATTAGGCTCTTTACTTGAACAAACAGCTCAGCTACCATGGATGTATGCTTTCCCCATGTCCTGCTCATTCACCTCTAATTATGAGTGTGTTTGTCTCCCTGGGTGTGCTCTTACCTGTTTGTGATTGGATCGGGCTCTTGTTTGTCACATGACCAGACTTTATGAATCTGTATGTGCGGTAAGTGAGGAGTCG